AATTCTAAAATGGAAAAAAACTACATTGTCTTAACAATTGAAGTAATTTAATGACGATAATTTTCTTTAAAATTTCAAGAAATTGAATTTTACATGGAGTATATATGGAAGACATTTCTGAAAGTAACAAATTTAAATAATTGGACAACATGGAAACTTAGCTGCAGCATATTCAACAAATAATGTCACTTAAACTACGTGTACACAGATCTTGCAATGCATATGCAGTATTATATTCGATGCAAACCAAAGATACATAGTTTTCTCTTTGTCAGTAAGAACATACTTCAATATACTACAGTAAGAACATACTACGACATTATATCAATGCGATAGAAGTTGAATATTTACAAATAAATTAAATGTTAACCTTAAAATTTTGTATTACACAAATCTAATTAATAATAGTTTTTAAATTGCCATTTTATAATTACAATATAATTTCTACAAATTATTACTATGTATGAATTTATATTTAATACATAGCGTGAAAGACTGACATAAATGACAACGATGACTTCATGATCTAAAAAGTAAAAGTTTTCAAATTAAGCTGTAATTTTTATTAGTATGCGCATAAGTAAAAGATATTGTAATTGCCGAAATAATTGGATATCGGTATTAATTATTAACATAATGAAATTTTTCTTTAGCAAGCATATATTACCAGTTTTAAAAGTCTCGAACTTACATTCGTAAAAGTTTCTAAGGACAAATTCATGAATCTTCCTGCCGTGATCGTTAATTGCGACTGAGATTTCATTATTATTAATATTATAAATTTGACTTGCTTTGATGACATATTGTACCATAACATATTGTATGCTGCATCGGTGATTGATTCACTCTAAATGCAAAGCAAGTTAGAAACAATGAAATATTATAAATATTTTTTATACTATACGATGCGTGTACTTGAATTTTTAATATTATAAAATATTTAAATAACTGCAATGAATAACAATATGTATAGCCGATTGATTGATTAGCACATTAAAATATTAAAGATTATATATTATCGAAGATATATTGATTGTATAACAAATATTATGATGTATTTATATGATAAGTAATTAAAATAAGAAATTAGAATAATAAAAAATATTCTTATTAATATTTTAATATATTATTCATATTAATACATTGCAATTTTTTATTAAAATACTATGTAAAACGTTTTAATTCGTAAACTTGCATAAATAAGTTGCATTAAACAATTGTGTATTTAATATGTTCACACAAGTTTCATAAATTTCAAATTCTTACTAACCTGAAAGCTAAGATATTCGCCAGCAAAGCAAAGAATAAATATTTCCAATAATACGGTAAAGTAACTCACAGACATTTTCACTAACGCTATGATACCGGCTTCGTTATAAAGGGACTAATTAAATAAAGAATAAAAAATAAAATAAATGATATTCTTATTACTTTGTTTCTGTTCTACTTACTATTATGATCATGATTCCTATACAGCAAAGTATTAAGGTATTCCAAACAACTTGCATTAACGCGATAAAGGAAAAAAACTTTTCAATGTTGTCTGAAAATATAATAATTCTATTGTGTCTCTTAATCAGCATTTTTAATGGAGATTCAGAAGAGTTATAAATAGAAATCTGTTTAGAAACAATGCTGAACTCTTGACACATGATATCGATTTGTCCGCTTACATGAAGTACCTAAAGTATGCAAAAATTTTATCAAAAAATCCAACTGTGTATGAAAACTTTCATAATAGAAGATTTTTTCAGCACAATACACGAGATTTTTTATCAATATTTATAATTATTAAATATAAAACATTTTTAGCTAACATTTAAATAACATCAATGTCTACATTAGTGTAAATTAGCAACAATGTTTCATTATAAATATAACAAAAGTTTCCATATTATAAAAATTAAATTTTTATGCAATTATATTAAAAAGTTTGACAACATGTTAAAAATTGATTTAATATTACAATTTAAATAAAAAAATTTAGTACTTACTAAAGATAAAATCGTTGCATTTATAATAGCCATCGTAAGCGAAGTTGTGATCATAAGTAGAAACAGAATTATAAAAAGGAATTCAAAGATCGGCGATTGATCAGTTTTAAACGGAAGTTGTACCTTTAAAGGAAGCTGTCTCCCGCTTTCATTATGATCCTTGATAAAATGTATAACATGAATAACATAATCACCCAGGCCATAAAGTATCCCGGCGAAAATGGTAATGCCTAACATACAGTTAGAGTAAAAATGTGATATGTTGGCTTTGTTTGTCATCATATATAAATGCTGTTCGACATTGATGCATTCACGCCAATCATTATCTATAGCAGCCAAAATTTTATGTATGACTCTGAAATGTATTACTTTAATCAATCAGATATTTCTTACAGCGTTATTTTTATTAAAAAAACAAACCAAAATTTAGACAAAAAGTTTAAATTGCATTTCTTATTTAAAAAGATTAATTACATTTATTATTCCTATTTTTTTACACATAATAATTAAATGGAAATCAAGTTACACACAATAAGCACAATTTCTTAAATTGATATCTTACGGACGATGTATCCAAAGACTAGCTAATTTAAGAAACATTAAACTGTAAAAAAGAGTCGACATCACGCCATCCACAAGATTCGAAATTTCGCTGAATTTAAAGTGCGTAGATATATACAAGTATTGAAAGTACTGTGCAATTAATATGCTCGTCATATAAATGTAAAGTGTTGGATATGACTCATTCGGCCATAGACCGAGAAACCGAAGGCCGATTCTTAACGAGGGACTAATGATGCTCGAAACAGTCATGTGTCAACTATTTTGAAGACGCTAGTTTGAAATCAAAATAATGTCGATAGATGTATCTCGTATTATGGTTTGAAAGAATACTGGAAGAACATCAACAGCATTGCCAAGTTTACCCCCATACAGTTCGTCGCGTCCCCACTCAAATGAATATGGATCAATCGTTATTTCTTGGTAGAATGTAGAAGTGAATTGAGATGGTGCTTATTATTCGTATAGACATTCTATAATTTCATTGGAAAAAATTTTTTTTAACAATCTCTTTAACCATAAAATTGTAACGCGATAAAAGGACAGTAAGTGGTGCAATTGTTAATTTTTTTGTATACTCTTCTTTCTGACACAACGTGATGTCATCAAAAATAAATGCCCACTTACATTTTTTACATTGCTAAGATTGTTAAATGTTCGATAGCTCAATTGAGCGAGCATAATAGTATTTCACGAACGGCGGACGGAACTATAGTTTGTATTCATAATTCGTTTTGTAAATTCTACAATGGGACGAAGAGAACATCGTATCTTAACACAGTTGCAGAATTTCATGGCAAATAACTTTTTTAAATTTCTAGAAATGGAGTGTTACACACATGTAAAAAACGTCTCTGAAAAATAACAAAACGTCAGTAAGTTAGGCATAACACAGAAACTTAGTTACAAGCTAATTCAGAAATCCAGAAATGTCATTTCAACTACATATACATATATACAGACCTTGCAATGAACATTCATATATTTGATGCAAACCGAAACTTTTTTCTTTTTGAGAACATATATCAGCATAACATATTATATGCAAAAAAAAGCAAAATAATCTTTATAGCAGATAACAAAATTAATTAAAGAAGAAAGAAAATTTTTATTTAATACAAATAAATATTAAGAAAATTTACAAAATTCGTATTAACATCAATATATTGCATTAAACACAGATGTAAATGATAACGATGTTTTCAAGATCTGAAAAATAAGTTATAAAAATATATACACATATTATAGCAAATAGCAAAATTAATTAAAGAAGAAACAAAATTTTTAATTAACACAAATATATATTAAGAAAATTTACAAAATTTTATTCTTACATTCGTAAAACTTTCTAAAGATAAATTCATAAATTTTCCTGCCGTAAGCGTTAGTAGCGACTGAGATTTCATTATTATGAATATTATAATTTTACTTTGCTTGGTGGGCATATTATACCATAATATACCATACGCTGCATCGATGATTGATTCACTCTAAATGCAAGGAATATTAGAAGTAAAAGTATGATAGTTCTATTATTCATTTTTGATACAATTATATATCATTTTATATTAAAATTCACAGTTTTTTTGTAATTTTTCGATCAACAACATTTTAAAAATAAAACAAAAATAAAATTTTTAATTAACGGGTGATTAATAAGTATACTTACATATTCATATACATATATACTGAATAATTTTTAAATATTTACTAACCTGAATGCTAAGGTATTCTCCAGCAAAGCAAAGGATAAAAATTTCGAACAATATAGTAATGTAACTTAAAAGGCCTTTCATTAACATAAAGGTACCGGCTTCATTATGAAGAGTCTATTTGAATGAACAGTAAAAAATAAAATGATTACTTTTATTATTGTTCTGTTTCTGTTCTACTTACTATTATAATAATAATTCCCAAACAGCAAATTATTAGAGCATCCCAAAGAATTTGCATTAACGCAAAAAAAGAAAAAATCTTTTTAATGTTATATGAAAATAAAATAATTCTCTTGTGTCTCTTGATTAACATTCTTAATGTAGATTTAGAAGATTGATAAACAGAAATTTGTTCAGAAACAATTTTGAACTCTTGACACATAATATCGATTTGCCCACTTATGTGAAGCACCTAAAATATGCAAAAATTTTATTAAAAAATTTACTTTGATGTATGAGAATTTTTGCAGTAGGAGATGAAAGCAGTATAATAATACATGCCTTTTTATATTTATAATTATTTTACTCTAATCACATCTGGTAATGATATGAATTTTTACACATACAAATTAAATATGCTTCATTATGTATGTAACAAAATTTTGCGTATTATATAAAGTAATATTTTCATGCGACAATTTTGAAAATACTAAGAATAAATTAAAAATTGTTTTATATTGCATCTTAGATAAAATAGAAATATGCAAATTTTAAATTTAATACTTACTAATGAAGAAATGAATCCATTGAAAGTGGCCATTACGGAAGTATTTATTATGATGTATAGTAATTGGATTACAAGGAGAAACTCATAGATCGGTGATTGCTCAGCTTTAAATGGAAGTTGCATTTTTAAAGGAAGCTGTTTCCAGGTACTATTGTAATCTTCGACTATGTGCGAAGAGTGAATTGCCATATTGCCCACAATATAAATAATCGCAGCAAAAACATTTAAGCTCAACATACAGTTTGAGCAAAAATGCGAGAAGTTGGCTTTATTTTTCATTATATATAAATGACATTCAAATTTGATGCATTCGTGCCAATCAGAATCCATAGCAGCCAGGATTTCATGTATTACTCTAAAATTTTTTATTCTGATTAGTTAAATATTTTGGATAATATTATTTGTGCCATATGAAATGACTGAAATTTACATAACGAGTTTGAATCACGTTTTCGTATAAAAAAGTTTAGTTACGTACATTACTTTGCACATCGCAATTAAATAAAGGTAAGATCACACACACAAACATGTTTTCTTAAATTGATATCTTACGGGCAACGTATCCGAAGACTAAATAATTTAAGAAACGTTAAAGAGTAAACAAGAGTCGACATCAAGCCGTCCACAAGATTTGACAATTCGCTGATCTTCAAGTGCGTGGATATATACAGATATTGAAAGTACTGTACAATGAGTATGCACGACATATAAGTATAAAGAACAAAATGGGACACACCCGGCCATACACCGAGCAACCGAAGGCCGATTTTTAGCGACGGACTGATAGTGCTCGAAACGGTCATGTCAACAACGTTGAAGACGCTAAGTAAAAATTAACGTTGGTATATGTATCTCGTACTCTGGTTTGAAAGAACACTGAAAGAGCTCCGACTTCATTGCTAAGTTTACCCCTGCGCACAATGCGTCCCCACTCAAATGAATATGGATCAATTGTTATTATTTTTTTGCATAGTGTAGAAGTGAATTGAGATAATGCTCATTATTCGTATAGACATTCTATAATTTCATGGAAAAAAGTTTTTTTTAACAATTTCTTTAACCATAAAATTGTAACGCGATAAAAGAACAGTAATTTGTGGTGCAATTGTTAATTTTTTGTATACTCTTCTTTCTGACACAGTGTAATGCCATAAAAAAATTAAAGCCCATTTACATTTTTTTCATTGTTATTATCGTTCAATGTACGGTAGCTCAGTTCTCTCTGAGCGATCATAATTATGCATTAAATATTTCAGATAAATGGAACTAAATAGTGTTCATAATTCGCAAGATCTAAAATGAAGGTAGAACATCGTGTCTTATCAATTGAAGTCATTTAATGGTGAACAATGTCGTTAGAAATTTCAAGAAGTAGAATTGTACGTGACGCACATATAGAAGACATCTCTAAGAAGGAACAAGTTTAAATAAAGTAAATATATCGTAAAAATGTATAGTTTAAAGCATATTAAGCAAACAATGTCATTCAAACTACGTATGAATACATCTTACAATGAATATTCAGTACTATATTCAGTGCAAACCAAAAAAAAATAAAATTTTTTAGTAAGTATATATTTTAACATATAAGATCATGTTAATGCAATAAAAAAGTTATATGCAAAATTTAAATACGCAATATTAAATATAATTCAAAATTATCTAATATGTCAGTCGTGAAGTTTGTTATTTAAAAGTTTAAATAATAATTATTAATTTACAAGTAACAGTTTATTTATTAATAATAGTTTTTAAATTGTCGTTTTATACTAATTATAGTATGATTTCAGGAGTCTGCTGGCATTTTTTTTGCTGTCAATATATCGCGTGAAATACCGATGAAATGATAACGACGCCTTCATGATTTAAAAAATAAGTTATGAAAATAAATGTTAATACAATTATGTGCATACATAAGAAACATATACTACATCAATAGATAACATACATGTATGTATCAAAATTCCAAAATTTTCAAACTTACATTCGTAAAAGTTTCCAAAGATAAATCATGAATTTTCCTGCCATGACCATTAACATGTCTGGGATTTCATTATTATAAACAAAGCGACAATTTCGCTTTGTTTCGAGAACATATTGTTTAAGTTTCTGTAAAAATTTCAACTATTATATATGAGGACTTTTACAATAGAAGATGTACGCGGTGTGGTATTGTACAATACGTAATGTATATATATATATATATATATATAATTATTTAATCATAAAAGACTTTTAATAATAATATCACTTCTATTTATACAAATTGAGTTTGAAATAATGCTACATTATGTATGTAATAAAATTTTGCATATTAAGTGAAATAAAATTCTTATGCGGCAATATTGGAAAAAATTAAAAATAAATTAATAACTGTTTTATATTGCAATTTAGATAAAATTTAAATATATTAAATCTGATACTTATTGAAAAAGATTAATTATTTATTTATTTTGAATAGCTAATGTGAACGAATTTCTTATAACAAATAAAAATTGGATTATAATGAGTACCTCAAAGATTGGCGATACCCGAAAGACTGCCGACAACACGAATTGCAATATCACCCACGAGATAAAATACCGAAGTAAACATATTAATGTTCAATATACAATTAGAATAAAAATGCGATATGTTGACTTTATTTGTCATCATATATGAATGCCAATTGACATTGATACATTCGTGCCAATCATTATTTATAGCTGCCAGAATTTCGTGTAGAACTCTGAAATGTTTTATTTAAATCAATCAGATATTTTGAACTATTTTATTTTTATATAAGATTGCCAAATTTTACGTGAATTTAAATCACTTTTTTGTTAAAAACGATTTGTATGCTACTTCTTATATTATTAAATGAAGATAAGATTAAACATCACTAATATAATTTCTTACATTTTTTAAATTCTTACGGGCAACGTACACGAAGACTGGTCAGTTTAAGTACCATCAAAGTGGAAATATATAAGAGTCGTCATCAAGCTACGAGATTTGACAGCTAGCTGAGCTTGGCGTGCGTAGATATATTAAATATTGAAAATATTGTATAATAAGTATGAACGACATATAAATATAAATAATGATGTGCGACACACCTAGCCAAGAAATCGGAGACCGGTTTTTAGCGAAGGACTAATAATGCTTGTGACGTAACAATTTTAAAGATGCAAAGTGAATATCAATCCGGTACACTTATCCGATATTCTGGTTTGAGAGAGTACTGTGAGAGCGCTGTCTACTTTGCCAGGTGCACCCTCACAGTTCGTCCCCAAGTAAATTTAGACCAATTACCATTATGTGCGTTGCAAAACCGAAATAGAGTTTATTATTTAGATGGACAGCTTATAATTCTTTGATAATACCTCGACCATAAAGCAAGTGCCATTTTTTGCAAACTTTTCTTTCTGATTATTCATTGATAAAGAACGTATATATATCTTTTGCATTTTCTTTGTATTGCAAAGATTGTTTTCAGCGCACAGTAGTTTGACTAAATAATTTCAATTACGTATCTTAAGTAAATTAAACTAAATTGTGCCTAAAGTTTAATTGCAAGTCATAAAAAAGATAATTGAGAAAAAGAACATTTTATCTTTTAGACTAACAGAGAGAGTGAATCATATAATTCAATCAAATGTATCATTGAACCAAACAATTATTTACAAGGACATAAAACGAAACATGCCATACTAACTACACTTACATATATGCAGATCTTCTAATGAAGATTCAATATAAACACATTTGACGCAGTCTAAAGATTTCTTTTCCGTAAATAACAATATATCATAAGAATTTAATAAGACAATCATTTGTATCGATATTAAATATAATTTTGATTTTATAATATGTAATTGTTAATTCGTAAAAAATTCCAAATTACCATTCTATACTAATTATACTACGATTTCTACAAATCGCTATAACCTTTTTTTTTACATCAATACATCGCATGAAATACAGATATATATGATGCCGATGCTTTCATTATCTAAAAAAAGTTAAAAATAAAGCTTAATGCAAATGTACACAATATAATAGACAGAACGTAACACGACAAATAACACAGAAAGATATTAAAATTAATTATATATGAGCAAAATAAAATTTTTAATTAATAGTTTATATATTAAAAATATTCCAGAAACGTCAAACTTACGCTCGCAAAAGTTTCTAAAGATAAATCCATGATTTTCCCTGCAGTGATCGTCAGTCGTCTATAAGATCTCATTATTACGAATATTATAATTTTACTCTGATTTGACGGCAAATTGTACCACAACACATCGTATGCTGCTTCAGCGATTGCATTACTCTAAAAACAATCCCTTGTTAAAAATGACAAAATACTATTTTTTTAACTTCTTTATTTAATCAACTTTTTTATGCACAGAAGTTTTCTTTGAATTGTAATCATAAATAATATTTCTTGCATTTTTTGGTATATTTTAAATCTTTTTATAAAGAAAAATATTTCGATTATTATGTTTGAATAATTATATTGCCTAAATAATTGTGACGTTTGAATAATTAAAAAAGACCGTAAATTTAAATAATTAATAATTTTTAATTATTTACTAACCTTTAGACTAAGATATTCTCCGGCAAAGCAAAAGATAAAGGCTTCTATCATCATAGCGATGTAAGCCAAAATAGTTTTTATTAACACGAAGAGACTACCTTCATTATGAATAGACTGTTTCAATAAGAACAGTAAAAATCAGTAAATAAATATATTTAATCTCGAATTTCGCGCACTCACTACTCACTATTATGATAATGAATCCTAAGCAGCACATAACTAACGTATTCCAAACAACTTGCATCAACGCTATGAAAGAGAAAAGTTTCTCGATGTTATCGGAAAATAAAATAACTTTATTATGCCTCTCGATCAACGTTCTCAATGTAGACGCGGAAGATTCGTAAAGTAAAATTTTCTCAGATATAATTCTGAACTCTTCACATATAATATCGATTTGTCCGCTCACGTGAAGCACCTAAAATATATTTAGTCTCTGCAAAAATTTCAAGTATTATGTACAAGAGAGGTTACTATGAAAGATACTTGATACAAAATGATGAATGCGACACAATATTCTTTCTTGAAATAAAATTTTTTTGACTTCAATTTATATTTTTAAATTAAGTTTATAAAAACATTGTGATTTATTCACAATAGTTTATTATAAAATTGTACATATCTAAAATTAAATTTATATCTCGCGATATTGACATAAACTTAAATCACATATCTCCTAAGCAACCTTAATAAACAACAGAGATATAAATGTAAAATCTGAGACTTACCAAAGAAAAAATCAATCCATTTAGTAGAGCGATCGTGAACGAATTTGCCATCACGTGTAGAAATAGCGTTACGACGAGCACTTCAAAGATCGGCGATTGTTCAGTTTCAAATGGAAGTTGTACCTTCATAGGAAGCTGCCGTAAAGTATCATTGTTATCGCTGACAAGATGCATAATATGAATTGCGTAATCGCCCAAAACGTAAAATACGCCAGAAATTCCGTAAAAGCTCAATATGGTATTAGAGAAAAAATGCGACACATTAGCTTTAATCGTCATTACATACAAATACTGATTGACATCCATGCACTCGCGCCAATCCTTATCCATAGCAATCAAGATCTGTTGCATGATTCTGCAATACAGTTTACGGTATATATTCGGATAAAGATATTATTCAGCGACGCGATATCTTACCGACGTTGTAACCAAAGACTGGTCAATTTAAAAATCGACAAACTGTAATCTAATGTCATGGGCAAACTATCCACAAGATTCGAAAGCTCGCTGAGTTTGAAATGCGTGAACACATACAAATATTGAAAATATTGTATAATTAGTAAACTCGACATATAAATCACCCAGTAAACGGTGGAATACGAAACATCCGGCCATACGCCAAGCAAGCGAAGGCCGATTTTCAGCGACGGGCTGATAGTACTTGTGGCCATCACTTGTCAATAATTTTGAAGACACGAAATATGGAGATTAATAGCGGCGCACTTATCTCTTTTCTAGTACGAGAGCGCACTGAGAGACCACCGACTGTATTTCCAAGTGGACCCCCACCTGCGATGCCTCCCCACTCAAATAAATATGGATCGCTATTATGCGATAATAAGAAGTCGAGATCGAAGCGAATTTTTTTATGGACATTCTGTAATTTTACTGGCAATCTTCTCTCTGGTAATGTGCACCATGTGTAGTGAATAAAGGAAATGCTGAGAGAAATAATATCGCTCAATGAGGGCAAACAACTTCATGCGCAATTATCATCTTTTCTCTTTCGCTGTTTTTTTTCTTAGGCAGTGGAACTTTATCAACAAAAAATATCCGACAAATGTCCATCGTATCTTCTATATTTTGCAAAAATCGCTTTTAACGTACGGCTGTTTGATTGTACAATTATAATAATGCATTAGATATTCTAAGCGAAGAAAATTAAATTGCATCCGTTGGTCTAATGTGAGTCTTAAAAATATTAAATGTGTGTGGAGAATATTGTATCTCCCTGACACTGAAGACGAGTTGCGTGTAATTTTCTTTAATTATGCAAAGAATGGAACTGTGCAAGGCACGCATGTGGAAAAAATCTCGAACATAAAAAATTTAATTTAACCAAAGATGTCATAGAAGCTTTTGCAAGAAGTTACAAGCACATGTAACAAAACATGCTATATCAGTTTTACATGCGCAAACTTTCCAATGAAGATGCAATGAATACAGTTATGTTGTATGCAATCTAAAGTTGTATTTCTTTTCTAGTCTAGGTAAGAATATCTTTTAATATAAAGTGTAAAATATATTGATAAATATATTATTACAAATCATAACTCATAATTAATCTTCATAATCTCATAATTAATCATCATAATTAATATATTGATAAATATTTTATTACAAATCATAACTCCGATTTTCAATTTTACATTTCAATTTATCTAAAAAAATTACAACACAACGAAATCATTCATCTATAAAGTTTTTATGAGATTTAATGCTTTTATACTTTACATGTAATTAATGAGAGAGAGAAATTCGATATTGAGAATAAATCGGTTCAAGTTTCAATACATCGCGTGCAACACCGAAATATACGATGCCGAAGCTTTCATGACCTAAAAAAAAGATTTTTATACATAGATACTATAATAAGAAAAAAAATATATAATAGTCTTTTTTTAAATATAACAATCTCCAGAAATTATCAATGTATGTGTAGATTTTTAATAATTTTGCAATATTTATGGCTATTTGCTTTTATTATTTAGAGTATATTATTTATATATTAGATCAATATCCTATTTTTTGATTTTCACTGTATTATTATTTCTATATATAAAATAACTGTTATTTAAAATTGACGATAATCTTACATTCGTGAAACCTTCCAAAGTCAGATCCATGACTTTTCCAGCTGTGATCGTCAGTCGTTTTTGAGATCTGACGATTATGAACAGTAAAACTCGACATTCGTTTATTGACAAATCGTACCAAAGTGTCTCATATGCCGCATCGCCGATAGATCTACTCTGAGAAAGGAAAAGAACTGCATATTAAAATATTATATAAAAATATGAATTAGATACATCGTGTTAAACGTATGCAAAAGGAGCATGTAGCATCTTATTATAAATATTAAATAATAAAATGTTTTTATATAATGTTACAGAATAGAAGAATAGAAGATCAAAGTCAAAAACGTCTAAAATCTTGCATGCTAACCTTGGAGCTCAAGTACTCGCCCGCGAAACAGAAAACAAAGGCTTCTAACGTTACAGCTATATACGGAATGATGGACTGCATTAATATTCCCGATTTACCCTCCATGTCCGTGCCTAAGGACTGCATAATAATACACTAAAGTATATAACAAAATAAGTGAATTTTGCGCGTAATTGTGCGTTTAATTTATAATCAACATAATGTTTCATATGATCTAATTATAAAAACATAATATATTAAAGAAAAACATTATTCTAAAATAGTATTACTAATATAATATTATAACATTTTTTTTCTTTTCAGAATTGCTTTGAGTAAAGTTAAATATTATTATATCAATTATTTTATTTTCCAGGCAATTCAAACATAAATCAAACAACGATATCAAATACAATTCAACAAAACGATTGGCGTTCAGCAAATTTCTCCTCTTCGAGAGACTGCGTTTTTTTGTTGTGAGTGAAGGAGCTTTACTTACTATTACAATCATAAATCCTATGGAGCAGATAACTACAGTATTCCATACGAATTGTATCAAAGCAACGAACGAGAAGAAGTTGTCGATATTGTTTGATAAAGATATGATTCTCTGGTGTTTCTCGATGAGCGATCTCACAATTGACGGATAAAATTTCTTCACGTTGGAGATTTCTCTCAATTCTTGGCACATGATATCGATCTGACCGCTTACGTGAAGTACCTCGAAGTAAGAACTGAAGGTTCAAGGAATGCTCACGAAGTTTAATAAGCGCTCTAATAAGCTAGCTTTCTCGCAATTATTATCTGATAAATTTCAATATTCTTACTTATTTATTTATTTGTTTATTTAAAACTTACCAATGCCAAAATCAAGGAATTCATCATCGCGATCACGGTCGCCGTTTCGAGTACATGAAAAAATAATACCAGAACGACGAGCTCGAAAATCGGCGAGCCGGTGGCATCGAACGGAAACTGTATTTGCACCGGAAACTCCCGGAGATCACCGTCGACGGAAGCCGCGCGATGACTTATGTAGCTGCCGATGAAATAAAAAATAGTAGACAAACTGTTAAGACTCATCATAGCATTGGAGCACCGATGCGCCAGATTAGCCTTGCTCATCATCACGCACGCGGACGAGTCCGCGATGCAGTCATTCCAGTCGTCGTTCATCGCGCCCAAAATATCCGAAAATATTCTGTAATCGATAGATCACTCGTCTTTAATAACGTTTAAAAATTACGGTGGCTAATAATCGCAAATCTTACCGACGATTATGCCAGAGACTTAGAAGTTTCATGAATGTCAAAGTGTAATCCAGCGTGACGCTCAGACCGTCCATCAGCTTCGAGAAATCGTTCATGTCCAAGTGCGCGAATACGTAAGAATACTGAAAGTACTGCATAGCGACAAGGGTGGCCATGTAAAAGAGCCAAAAGAACGTCGCGTACGAAGAGCCGGGCCACATGCCGATAAAACTAAGACCGATCTTTAGTAACGGGCTTATGGTAGACATTGACATATTAATTTGTGAATTCACATCAAAATGTTACTTGACCGATCTGTGCGTGTCTTTCTGACAGATGAAATGGATCTCAACTGGGAGAGAGTCGTCGCAAAGGAAACACAAAACCGCGTCTTTCGATCAACATTGCACTCCCCACTCCTTCGTAAAAAGTTAGCAATTTTAAAGTAAAACCACCGTCGTAGAACATGAGCATTAATCAATTGCAATTATGTATCTCGCAGTACGACGACAACTGTGCGTATGATAAGTTAAATTGCAATGATAGATGATTATAGGTTTTTTTCGAGCTCAGAAAAAAATGTACACGTGGAAAATATCGTCGTCAATTTTGTTCGGTTTTAAACCAAATGCTGCAATAGCAGATAATTTTCGTTAAAAATGCAGTTGTAGTTGCTCCCCGATACAGATAAATATAGCTTTATTACAAAAAAGAAGCGCATTAAAAAGACCTGAAAATTAAATTTGAAACAAATAATGACATATAGTCTAGCCAGTCGTATTAACTACATTAATTGGTTAATTATTGTATTTGTGACAAAGGAAAATATCGCTCTCTACAGCTAAGATGATGGAAATAAAAATCATAACTTTCAGTTCAAAGGTTGCACATATAGTGACTAAGAACATTCCATGTGTGTAAATATATTGTTAATAATATTATTAAGCTATATGCATACTTCATCTTTTTTCCCAAGAATTTGCATAATTTATTCTTTGAAAATTGGGTAAATTTTAAATTGTTGTTTTATAATAAGTGCAGGATATATTGTTTATGATAAACAAAATATTTTTTAACCAAATTGCATTTGTTATAAAAAACAATTATTTATTTTCTATCCTATATAATGTGTTCGTAAAAAAGAACGACGCATAGAGATAAAATTTATATAAATAGCATTGTGTTCAATGGTTATCGAAAATAAAACAATTTGCAAAATCGGTATTAATATCTATTAGTATTTTTACAAATGTATATATTACTACTTCACTCGCGTTGATTCGACGATACACGTTCACATCGATTCGATTTCAGTACATCGCGTGCAAGACCGAAATGTAAGACGCCGAAGCCTTCATTATCTAAAAATATGCTCTTATCCAGACAATAATACTAACATAAACGATTCTTTGGTATTTGAACATTATTAATATGATGCATACGCATTGATATTTTTTAATTATATTAAATATTGTTTTAATATTAATATTTGATCGGCAATTATAATATATTATGAAAAAAAATAATAATGTGTATAAAATAATATGCTTAAAAGAAAGAACTTACTGCAGTAAAGCTTTCCAATGTCAGGTCCATGACTTTTCCAGCTGTAATCGTCAGTCGCTTTTGAGATCTGAGGATTATGAATAATAAAATGCGACATTCGTTGATGGGTAGATCATACCAAATTGCCTCATATGCAGCATCGCCAATAGAGTTACTCTGATAAAGAAAGGAAAGATCACAGATTGCGATATAATATATACAGATATTATAGTATACGAGAACGTAGCAATATTCTCAACTCGGATAAACAACATGGTTTAATTTCCTCGTACATTTTAAATTGAAAGGTATATACAATATTTCATTTCTATATACATAGACATGTACAATTGAAATTAAAAAAAAATATTAATAAATAAAAAAACATTATATTAAAATAGATATTAAAATTAGGAAAGTAATAAAAATTAGCACTATGCCAACCTTAGTATTCAAATATTCGCCAGCGAAACAGAAAACGAAAGCCTCTATAGTTACTGCGAGATAAGGAATGACAAATTTTATCAATATTCCGGATTTAGTCTCAAAATCTAAAGACTACGTAACAGAATATTAATTATATAACATTTTATTTAATATTATGATTATGACATATAATGATTTAAATAATTGTTTAAAAGTGCATTTCCAAAATGTTATTATATTAGATATCGCACATAACAAATTTTTATTTGCTTTGAAATAAATAAATATGTCACTTATTCTAATATAATAATATAACTAATATAATAATTTTGTATATTTCAGAATGCGCACTTTTTTTCTTTTGAAGAATTTTGGAAATGCGCTACGCAGTCTATTATTATAGTAAAATTGAAGCAGCCTTACTCACTATTGTGACCATAAATCCTATGCAACAAATAACGAAAGTGTTCCATACAAATTGCAACAAACCGACAAATGAAAAATAGTCCTCAATATTATTCGACAGCAATATAATCTTCTGGTGTCTTTCGACGAGCGATTTAGTGGTTAACGATTTGGGCTTGCACGGGGAAGAAAATTCTTTGAGCTCTTGGCACATGATATCGATTTGTCCGCTTACGTGCAACACCTCAAAGTAAAAACTGAGAGTTTAAGCAACACTTAAAAAAACTCGAGAAGAATTTTAATGAACTCGATCAGAAAAAGTTTGTAATATCACTGCGTTAATCTCTTACCTGATACAAGCCATTTATCCAACCGTTTTCGTTCCTTAACTTACCAATGTTAGGATCAAAGAATTCAGCATCGCGATCACGGTTGCCGTTTCTAACACATGAAAAAACAATCCCACGTTGACAAACTCGAAAATGGGCGATTCGTGGGCCTCGTACGGTAACTGTACCTGCACCGAAAACTCGCGAAACCGCCCGTCTTCCGAAAATGTACGGCGTCGAACATAGCTGTCGATGAAATAGAGAACGGTGGACAGCGCATTGATGGATATCATGGCGTTAGAGCAACGATGCGCCAAATTAGCTTTGTCCATCATCATGCACTCGTGCAATTTGGTCGCGCACTCGTTCCAGTCATCGTCCATCAACCTCAAGATATTCGCGAATATCCTACAACAGATCAAACTGTGAGGTGCATGATAAATCGAGCGCGCAGATCGAGAGATTATCGCTTGCCTGATACGAATTCGCTGGTCTTACCGGCGATTAAACCAAAGACTCAGTAACTTAAAAATCGTCAGACTGTAATCCAGAATGAGGCCTAGATTGTCCATCAATTTGGTCAAATTGTCGAAGTGTGCGTAGACATAAGAATATTGAAAGTATTGCATCACGATGAGGGTCGTCATGTAAAAAACCAAGCAGAGCGTCCCGTGCGAGGCACCGGGCCAAATGCCGATCCAGCTGAGACCGATCTTCAGCAACGGACTTATCGTACTCGTCAACATGTGGCGCGTAATTTCGCATTACACCATCACTCTAACAAAACGCACGCATGCATCGTCCTCGTCCACAACAAAGCAACAAATAACAACTGTGCGAGACGCGAGAGCGCGAAGAAAACACGGGATCGAATCTGTCGCTGTAATTCCATAATACATCTTTCCCCTTCTCCGATGTCACAAGAAAAAGACAGCAATTTTACGGGATAAAACTACTACAATATAATGTGAGTAACGATCGCAATTACGTGTGAACGGTACAACGGCAAACTAAATTGCGACGTTAGATCAACGATTATAGGTTTTGCAACACGCAAAAAAGGTACACGTGTACCTTTACGCAAATGAATGTTCTTCAAAATGCAAATGTAAATAATCACCATTATGATAAAAAATTCTTCGCAAGAAAGCGTTCTGGAAAAGTAATCTTTTACGTTCTCGATAGATCTGAAAATTGCATCTTGCCAAGCTCTACGATAAATTACGCAAATAACGTGCAGTAATCATCGAATGGTAGTCGGACATTTACGTCAATAAAATAAAAGAGAAATGTCACGAATAAGAAAAATGAAATGTAAGTAGACTGCACTTCAAGCAAAAATTCGACAAAATATATACTGAATACGAATATTAAATTCTAATGTTATTATTAAAATATTACAACATTATAATTAAAATATATATTCACACAAATCTATTTGTCTGTGAAGAATCATTTATCATCAACACGGAATATTTCTTAAGATTGATGTTGATAAACGAGATTTCTCGATTTAATACATCGCATGTAGCACAGACATATAAGAAGCTGAAGTTTTCATGACCTAAAAAATAAGTTTTGTTAAAAAGACTAGAAAAAATAAGGAATTTGTTTACATCTTACGCTCATAAATCCTTCCAGAGTGAGATCAAAGATTTTCCCTGCAGTAATAGTTAATCGCTTTTGTGATCTCACCATTATGAATAATAAAACGCGACTGTTAGATGGTTCCATGTTGAACCAAAGTGACTCATATATTGCATCGCTAATCGATCTACTCTATAAAAAATACATCTCGAATTTAGAATACGTAAATAAAACAATATTTAAATATCGTTCAAAAAAAATAAAGATATTATAAATTAATAAAGATATATAGTAGAAATTATTATGCAACGGCAAATATAAAATTATCTGCGCATTTCTTATTAAAATTTTTGCTGCACTATGCATCAATCATTATTTACGGCTTAGAACTGAAGTAGAAAGAAATAATTTCGCATATACTTTGTGCATACAAAATACAGGGGATTCGTTTACAAACCTTGGCACTTAAGTACTCTCCTGCGTAGCAAAATACGAAAACTTCTAACGTCTTTGCGACGTAAAGAAGCACCGATTTTATTAAACCCGCTGTGCTTTTGTGGCTAAGAGTCTACGAACAAATAAAGAAAAATGTCAGTTTGTTAATAATAAGAAGACAATTAATCTTTCTTACAATTATGATCATAAAACCGGCGCAGCAAATGATTAAAGTATTCCATAAGAGTTGCATCAGTGATATGGACGAGAATAGGTTTTCGATATCTTCCGACAAAGTGATAATTTTCCGATGTTTGTGAATGAGATTTCTGATTACAGTTAGAGATATGTCAGGGCTGGTGCTGCTGGACATTTCTATTATTGCTTGCCGCATAATGTCGATCTGGCCACCCACGTGAAGCACCTATAAAGGTAAAACACATCCGAAATAAACAAGAAACATAAAAGTATACATTGTAAAAAAAATTATAGCGCTTTTCGCAGCGCTTTATTACACTTAAAATTGTAAAAAAAAATTTGTTTAACTTATGATAAATATTTCTGTGCTTACCAAGGTGGCTAGTAACGCATTAATCATACCGGCCACAGAAGCCAACGACAATTCATAAAGAAACTGTCCAATCAGGAGACACTCGAAAAGCGGCGATTTGGTCACCTCGAAAGAAAATTCCATTTTTACTGGAAGTTCTCGAAAATCGTCACTCGCGCTCAGTGCACGAAACACATAAGCAGCAACTGATAAGAAGAAAGCGGCTAAAGCATGGACGCCGATAAGCACGATAGAGTAATGACGCGACAGACTCTTAACCGTCATCATGATGGACTCGCAGGAACCGCAATTGCTCCAGTCTCTCTCCATCGCCGTTAGGATATTATGGAATATCCTGTAGACAGTACATCCTTTCATCGAGAACGCATTAATCTTTCACCATGCAAAAAGTAGCTTCATTGAAAGTGTTTATGTAGAAAATAAATGTTATCTTCAATAAACACCATTTTATACGCAAATGTAAGTCGCACGCGTTTTGTTGTTCCACAAGAAATTTTTAAGACAAACGTCATTCAATATTTAAGTCAAATTTCTTAAAATACAATAGACAATTCCTTTTAATATTTATAATAATACCCTTTATTTTTCAGTCTGTCCATATATTGAAAAGCATCTTACCGACGATTCCACCGCAGAGTAAGCAGCTTAAGAAAAGCAAGCGTGTTCGCCAGGGCAAGACCCAAACTGTCCATTAGAAGTGAGAGATTACTAAGGTCAAAATGTGCAACAACATAGGAATATTGATAATACTGTAATGTCGCAATTGCCGTTATGTACACGGACCAATAAAGATCCGGGAAAGCCGAATCTGGCCACATGCCGATAAAACGGAGACCGATTTCAACCAAGCGGCTGATAGTACGTGCGCGGGTCATCGTTATTTCAGAACTATTGTTCTGTTAAAACTCGGTAGTTGTACTTATGTCGACGCGTAAAAAGCAGACAAGAATGTTTTTCAATGTGCTTTACATGATAAAAGAAAAAATACTGAATAATCATAGGGGAAGCGATAAAGCGCAAGCGACTCTTGCGCAGTGATCAACTCTAATAATTTTGTAATTATACTTTAAGTATTCTGAACGTATTAATTCTTGGAAGCTTGCAGGTAAATCGATCGGAAAACAAATCGATGACTATATTCGCTTCCCTTTCGAGGTAGCGAACAATTTAATGTTGCACGATAACACGCAATTGCTTAAAGGTAGAATAAAAGATCAATTTCACATGCAATTACATTCAAGAAGGAAAAAAAGAAAATTATGCGCTAAGTTTTAATGAAAACGTTAACGTTTGCGCAGTTTAACTGTAATCGGAAAGAAAGAGTAGTGGAGAACGTTTATTATAGTTAGATGTTTGTGATACAGCCGATCTCGCTATATTACTTTCTGTTTCTCGCTTATCTATCCGCTTACCTGTTCTCTCTTTTTGTGCAGTTATAGAATCAAGAGTGATGCCGGTGAAAACGTTAGACAAGAAAGATTACTAGACGATTAAAAATGTAAGTAATTAAAATAGCAAAATATGGAACATATTTTAGAAATTAATTATAGACTATATAAATAAGATCTGCACACATTTCAAGCAAAAGTTTTCTAAAGATATATTTAAAGACTATAGGAACGAACATTAAATATTACAATTAAGGTACAATTTCTTCTTTAAGTCTACAACAATGTTTTATAAATACCACAGAAATAAGAACCTAGAAATGTAGAACGTGAAAAAAAAATAATTTTTATGAATTTAATAAGTTTGTTAAAAATAATTTTTACTTAAATAATTTTATGTTTTACAATTTGTGTAATGAAGCTATTCTAACTAAGAACATGTAGATAGAAAAGTAGATATCTATTATACTAATTAGTCTAACATTGCGGAAACATTCAATACATTGCGCAAACTTAGTACATTGCATTTATTACTGATATGTAGGAAACAGAAGCTTTCATAATCTGAAAACAATTGCCCACGATTAATAAGGTGCAATATATTAGAAAAGCATGCTTACAGTATAATGTCTTACACTTGTAAATCCTTCGAAAGTCAAATCAATCACTCTTCCTGCAGTGATCGTTAATCGCTTTTGACATCTCACTATCATGAACAATATAATGCGACTGTCACTCGGCGGCATGTTGTACCAAACCGCTGCATATAATGCATCACCAATCGATTTACTCTGGAAGCAGAATAAACTGCTTAAAACATGCACTAACAGCGATTTTTTATTGCTCAGGAGACATTTTTTTACATCTTTTTAACAATAAAAATTAATTTTAATAGAAAAAATACACGCAGTAAATTATCACAGTAAATAGATATTTACAATTCTTTCGAAATATTAAGAACTTGTTTACGTACTTTTGCACTCAAAAATTCTCCAGCGAAGCAGAATACGAAAGCTTCTAAAATTATCGCTAAATAATAACTCACAGTCTTGATTAAGCCTAACGTATCCTGGCCGGTGCCAATAATCTATAAAAAAATAAAGGAACAATGTTATTCGTTCAAGACGTAAAACAAAAAAAGTGGCCAATATTACTTACTAATATAATCACAAAACCTGTGCAACACATGACTATAGTGTTCCACAAAAGTTGCAACAGCGACAGATGAGTATACAAACTCTCAATACTTTCTGATAAACTAATTATTTTTTGATGCTTGCAAATAAGATGTTTTATAACATTTAAGAATGTGTTCCGATCACATTTGCTATTGGCAATTTCGACCAAGTCTTGGCGCATAATATCGATCTGACCACTTACATGAAATATCTATAAATATAAAATAATATGTGTTATCTAAAACAATACTTCGTCCTGTTCTAATAATTTAGTTCGTATCAGACGGAATATAATTATTATTTTTATATTTTGTAAATTATTATAATATTATAATTTTTTAATCTCTTAAGACAAAATATTTGCGAGCTTACCAATGTGACAAGCAATGAATTGAACAAACCAACCAGCAAAGCTACCACCAAATCATAGAGAAACTGGCCAATTAAGAAACACTCGAAAGTCGGTGTTTTAGAGACATCGAAAGGAAATTCCATTTTTATAGGAAGTTCTCGAGAACTATTGCCAAATTGATTGGCATCGTTCATCAACTGAAATAAGTGGTCGCCGATTGACAGAAAAAAAGCACCCGAGGCGTTGAGGACGAACACTGCATTGGAAAAACGACGCGACATATCAGCCATGTTCATCATCGTGGACGCATACAAATCATTGATAATGCACTCTTTCCAATCTTCATCCATTGTCTTCACAATATAATGGAATATCCTACGGGAAATATATCGGGCATGTATGTTTTATTTCTTCATGTATAATAAATGTGTATGCGCAAAAAATATTTCCGCATACATTTTCATTTAAAATAATGGTGAACTTTTTTCGTCATTTTGTAATATTAATGTAATTGCATTGACACTAAGCACATTTTACATCGTATCCTGCGGAAGGATGTGTCTTACCGACGATTTCGCCACAAAATAACAAGCTTGAGGAAGAAGAGGGTGTACGCCAAGGTAAGACTGAGACATTCCATGAGGAGCGGAATGTTGTTCAATTCAAAATGTGTGAATACGTACACATACTGATAATATTGCACTATTGCTAACGTCGTCACGAAGCTCAACCAATAAAAAGTCGCGTAAGGCGAATCTGGCCACAAACCGATGAAACGAAGGCCGATTTCGACTAAGAAGCTGATAGTATTTGCACGTTTCATCGCTCTTTGCTGATCACTGAACGTTAGCTGAACGTGAAGCCAATGACTGCGGAGATGTCAGTGCGTGAAAAGTACAAGTATATTTTTCCTTTAATATGCTATGCATGATGATGACTAAAGCACTAGACGGTCGTAGCGGAGACGATAAAGCGCAAGCTTCTACCAACATAAATCAATCGTAATTACAGCACGGAAATGTTCTCATCGCATTAGGTCTTGGAAACTTATAGCTATACCAATTAGAAAAAGTAATGTAATTGCGATTATTTTCCTTACGGACGTTTTAATATTGTACTGATAGCATATAATTGCTTTAGAACTGTACATTTCTGTTGTAAGAGCAATTTTATTTCTGTCCACGTCCGGCAAAAAAAAGTTAGTCTGACGATTACTAACGTTCATATCTGTAGAACGCAAATGTGAGATGGCAAGAAAACGTTTATTGTAGTTAGACATAAATAATTTTGCCAATTTTCTTTGTTTCTTATTCACATAGTCTCTAATCATCTTTTTTTGCGAACACAAATGAGGACTTCTAGACTTATGACAAATAATCATAAGAGAAGATAGTAAATTTTGTAATATTGTTTAGTACCAAGAGAGAGATTGCAACACAAAAATGAGTGAATTCAATTGCGCAAATAATACTTTCATTGCTGATTTTGTCATATTAATCGACAAAGAAAATCGACACAAAAATTTTAACAAATTATAAAATGGAAAACAATTTACAAAAATTAGTTTCTATAGCATTCTTGATCTGTTACGAGAACTAAAAAAGCAGTTATAAAATGATATATATTAAGGATGTTTAGTACCTATTTTAAAATATTAGGAATTTAACAAAAATTTTACAGATTGTTCTTACATATGTTCGGAGATTTGTGACAAAATCCGGAGTCGATTTACTGAAGCAATCAAAAGTTATAAGGATTTTAATTTGCAACGAATTTACCCGTGACTTTATGGAAAACGCGTAACCGTGTTGATTTAAGTGGCTAAAATGGATAGAAAAAAATTTTTTTTGTTGAAGAAGTTTCTTTTCGTACACTTTTTTGGTCACTATTTTTCCTTTTCATCGATAAGGGCCTACTTTTGGCATTGTGGATAAACACAACTAACCTTTATCCGCACGTCAAGCATAATTCAGAAAATTCGAAAATTCTCAAGAAAAAAAAACAACAGAAAATTTAAAAAGTACATTTCTGCACTCTACTTATGAATAAATGATAAGATTCTGTGCAATCTTTATTACTCAAACTATATGAGAAGAGCATATATTCATCAAAATCAAATTTCAGCAACTTTTTGCTACGATTGTACGTAC